TCTTCTTTGATTCTGCTCAGTTACCTCAACTAAGAAAGCGCCTCGTGAAGTCCATACTGCAAAAGTAAATATACATAGCTTCACCTCTTGTTATTGATTATCATAACCTAACTCGTATATATTAATTATACTAATCAAATTTGAACTTACATTTTTATGTAGTGTTACGAAGAAGATAAATTCTCGAGCTCCTCGAGGTCCTACATGGAAATCACCAATGGTAATGCCACATGATATTGTGATTTTCGTAATATACAATGCGTAAGATGTTGCTAATTTGCTATGTATGTTTGATTCATGTACTTTCTTCCTCATGTTAGTGCACACAACAAGATAACGGAGTTGATTGTGGCCTATACGTGATGAGATTCATGTTTGACATAGTGAGTCATTGTACAGACACACAACAGCTTGAAGAGGTATGCCATTTTGGTTGAAATTGCGTTCCAAAACTCCTTAATTGCTATTTTCTTGTAATTTCAAACCTTTTCCATCTATAAATAAGTAATAAAGACATGTTACGCCTATTTATGAGTTCACTAGACAAGAAATGTAGGAAATAGGCATCCTAGTAGTCAAAATGGCCTTACTCGGGCCATTTTGGTTCAAAATGCGTTCTAAAACCACTTAATTGCTATTTTCTTGTAATTTCAAGCCTTGGTCATCTATAAATAAGTGATAAAGACATGTTATGCCTATTTATGAGTTCACTAGACAAGAAATGTAGGAAATAGGCATCCTAGTAGTCAAAATGGCCTTACTCGTGCCATTTTGGTTGAAATTGCGTTCCAAAACTCCTTAATTGCTATTTTCTTGTAATTTCAAGCCTTGTCCATCTATAAATAAGTGATAAAGACATGTTATGTCTATTTATGAGTTCACTAGACAAGAAATGTAGGAAATAGGCATCCTAGTAGTCAAAATGGCCTTACTCGGGCCATTTTGGTTCAAAATGCGTTCTAAAACCCCTTAATTGCTATTTTCTTGTAATTTCAAGCCTTGGCCATCTATAAATAAGTGATAAAGACATTTTATGACTATTTATGAGTTCACTAGACAAGAAATGTAGGAAATAAGCTTCCTAGTAGTCAAAATGGCCCAACTCGGGCCATTTTGGTTGAAATTGCGTTCCAAAACTCCTTAATTGCTATTTTCTTGTAACTTCAAGCCTTGGCCAACTATAAATAAGTGATAAAGACATGTTATGTCTATTTATGAGTTCACTAGACAAGAAATGTAGGAAATAGGCATCCTAGTAGTCAAAATGGCCTTACTCGGGCCATTTTGGTTGAAATTGCGTTCCAAAACTCCTTAATTGCTATTTTCTTGTAATTTCAAGCCTTGGCCATCTATAAATAAGTGATAAAGACATGTTATGACTGTTTATGAGTTCACTAGACAAAAAATATAGGAATAGGCATCCTAGTAGTCAAAATGGCCGTACTCGGGCCATTTTGGTTGAAAATGCGTTCTAAAACCACTTAATTGCTATTTTCTTGTAACTTCAAGCCTTGGCCATCTATAAATAAGTGGTAAAGACATGTTATGCCTATTTATGAGTTTACTAGACAAGAAATGTAAGAAATAGGCATCTTAGTAGTCAAAACGGCCTTACTCGGGCCATTATGGTTCAAAATACGTTCTAAAACCCCTTAACTGTTATTTTCTTGTAATTTCAAGCCTTGGCCATCTATAAATAAGTGATAAAGACATGTTATGCCTATTTATGAGTTCACTCCTACTAACTTACGTTTTGTGTATGTATTCCAAGTTTTGCAAGGGACAAACGGGAAATCCGTTCACGAACGAGGAACTCAATGTAATTCGAGACATGTTGGCGGCCTACATCACATTTAATTTGTAAACATCATTTATTTCTGTTTTAACTAGTTTAGTGTACTACATTATTACTAATTAATTATGTTTGTTTGTAGTTATGACACATTTTTCTAATTAATATCATATTTTGGGATTGTTATCAATATTTATGTCCTTGCATTTTTATTATTTTCAATTATTATTATTATTAATATATTAATAATACTAATTATTATTAATATTATAATAATAATAATTATAATAATTAATATTAATATTAATATTATAATAATAATAATTATTATTATTATTAAAATTAATAATAATAGTAATAATAATAATAATTATTATTATTATTAATTATCGGTATTATGTACATGATCTCATTATTATTATATTTATTAGTATTAATATTAATATATATTATTGCCGAAAAAAAAAAACAAGTCAAAGGCACCGGTTCAAGCTCAAAATCGGTGCCTATTACATTGAATTTATTAAAAAAAAACTGGCGCCATTGAAGTTGGCACCGGTTTTGAACCGGTGCCAAATTTTTGAGGATTTGGCATCCCTCAAATCCCCAACGATTCAAAACCGGTGCCTTAGGGGGGGTTTGAACCGGTGCCAAATTAGCTTTTTCGTCTAGTGAATCTTAAGTTTTGATTATTGGGGGAAAATCTCTAGTTTCAGAGACTGTGAATTTTCTAAGCGAGTTTGGGCTTCTAGCTTCATTGGAATCAGAATTGGGGCCCAGGAGCACCTTCCCCTGAATCAGTGGGCTCAGAACTAGATTCATTAGTCATTACCTAGGTAAGATGGATAACGATGGAGGGAGTCGTGTTTTACAAATCCTATTAGTCACCCGTAGTATATGGCTAGAATGGAATAGAGTGGTCTTCAAAGGGTATTAACCAAATGCGTACAGGTACATAAAAATGGGAGAGGAGATGTCTATTTTAAGGGGAAGTAGGTTTACCATCCTTCGGAAGGTTGTTAAGGAAGAGCCGAAAGAACTCCCTGGTTTCGAGCGAGACTGTTTAGTTTCCTTTATTGGGTCCCAAATGTGTGAGTCTCACGAGATTCTCAAGTGCAGAATTTGCATGCTTCAAAGATCATTTTGCATGGATCGTTCGAAATTAGTTTCTGATATGGAAAAATAGGCTCTTAAAAGTGGACATTGAAGAGTTTCTCTGCTTCACGGATCCAATTTTTACTTTGGGGTATCCACTCAGGTCTGGTTTGCGCTATAAACCAAGGAATTTGGCATATCCAGCTAAGAGTGTATGGAGATAGAAAAAACAGTGAAGACATTTTCAACTCGACTGATTTCAATGTGCCGGGAAGATTTTTTTTCTTTTTTAGGAAGATCCAGCTATTATCAAGAACTCTCCACTGTTTTCCTGTTGTATGTAGCGATAGATATAGATGGAATGAGGTTAGTAGGGGTTAAGATTTTTATGACCTTGGCACTATGTTTTAGGTTCTTGTGCCTGTGTTTTTCTCCTTGTAAAAAAAAAAAGGAACTATTGATAGAGAAGTTACACTTCTTAATTACACTTATGTCAAACATCTCCCCTATATAGGTCTATTATGCTTCATGATAATATTATCATACATAGGGGGATAGGTGAGTAGCTCAGGTGGTGAGTACTCCCCCCTTTGGCCCTTGAGGTCAAGGGTTCGATCCCTACCCACGATGGAGTGATGGTTTCGGTGGGTGGGCTGGGTAGGGAGGTGGTTTCGATGGTGGGTCTGCCAGAGAAGGGTGGTTGTGCGTTTTTTTTTTCAATATTTTTTTTAATTATCTTTGATTAATTTTTCTTTTAATTCTTTTTTAATTTTTTTTACCAATGACGTGATGACACGTGTGCAAACAATCTTATGGTAACCTATTTAACCGGTTTCAGGTCACTTGGAACCATTGAAAGCGGATTGGATATAAAGGTCGGATTATTAAAAAATAATCGAAAGGTGAGATTATTTTGGGCTGATAAGGCAAAAGTCGAACTATCCCGACAATTTTTCCTAAAAAATATATATAATCATGTGAAGAGAAAGATCGAGAGACATGGCAATTTTACACAAAACGGAATCATTTATTGCATTCAAATTAAGAGTTTCGCTCTTTTCATAAGGGGTATTTTGTAGGGCAGAGCAAAACTATTTGATAATCCGAAAATTCGATCCGCATCCGATTTAAAAATTTCGGATATCGGATATTGAAAATTTCGATTTCGGATATTCGAATATCCGGAAAATGTCGGATTTCAGAAATCGGATCGGGGATCCGAAAAAAACACTTTTTTTTCTAAACAAAAAAAAAAAAAAAAAAAAAAAAAAATTATTTAACAAAATTTCGGATAACTCTAAGACGCTAATCCCGTAATCCGCCTCTTTCTCTTTCTCTTCTATTTTCTCCCTTCTCCCTCCTCCCTCCTCTCTCATCTCAGATCTCCCTCTTCGACTTCTGCTCTGTAGGCCGCCATTATCGGCAATTTCCGAGCTTTCTCTCTCCTCTGAAAATGGCAAGTTGTTCATGACTTCTCAGATCTCACTGTAACAATTTTAAGAAGAGAAGATTGATAAATAGAGAAGAAGAGCATAGATCGAAGCTAATACACACACCGTCTCTTTCATCATTGCTCAAAGCTGCCCTCGCCTTATACACCAGCCATTGTCCGACATGCAACTACAGAACCAAGCCGCAAACAGCAGCAGCTTGCAACGATCCACTTAAAGCCCCAAATCGATTTTGAAGGGGTGGGTGGTGTGGGTCGAATTTTCGTAGGGGGTGGCTGGTTAGGGTCAAATTTTCGACGGGGGTAGGCGATGTGAGCCGAATTATCGAAAGGGATGGACTGTGAATGGATTTTCGAAGGGAGTGGGTAATTTTTGGGCTAGGGTGGCTAGATTTCGGTGGAAGGTAGCTGATTTAAGGTTGAAGGATGGTTCTTTCGAGCAGTATTAGGGGTTCTTTTTGGTTGGGTGAGGTTGTTTACGGTTGGAAGGGATGGTTTCGAGCTGGGTGGGTGGTTTTGTGGTGGGTGAAGGGTTTTCGGTGGTGGGGATGGCGATTTCCAAATAGTTAAGATGGATTTGGGAATTATTAAGGTAGCCTTACGAGCATGGTTGGTTTACGGTGCTGGGTGGTTTTCGGGGCTGGGGGTGGGAATCGAAGGGTGATTCGGGGAGGGGGGTTGATTTCGCTGAGTTTGTGGTGGGGAAGGGGGGATTCCGGTGGTGGGGGATGAGGAGAAGGGCTGCCGGAGGGTGGGGGATGGGAAGGGGGCTGTCGGAAAATAGGGAACGGTGGTGGTGGTGGGGATGGGATGGGCAGATGGGCTGGCTAGTATTTTTTTTGATAAAACCCATATTATCAGATGGGTCGGATATTAGATATTTGGATATCCGAAAATTTTAGATCGGATACGGATATCAAATAGTAGTATCTGATTTTTCAAATACGGATATCTGATTTTGGTCATTTCTCATCGGCAAATTCATAAACTTGATTACAAATTGATTCAAAATTTCCCGCTAATACATTCATACATCATCTCTCATTCTCTGTTTCTCTCCCTCTCAAATTCTCTCTCTCTCTTCTTTGAGTGCTGATCAATTCTCAACAGTGGAGCAAGCAATTGTGACCTCTTCATCGCCGCAAATCAATCCTAATTCTCAACTTTCTTCTCTTCTTTACGGTAATTTTCTCTCTCATCTCTCTCTCACAACTCTCTGTTTCAATTTTCAGTTTCAGCTTTTTCATTTGCTCAACGATTTACCATATCACATTGAATTTGTGGCTTAACTAAATTTGTTTTGATCGTTTATTTTCGAGCAAGTTTGTCTTAATTATCGGTAAATTATCAATTTCTTTCGGTGTGTGATCGTTGATTATCCACTACTTTTTCATAGAAATTTTTCTGCATCATAGATCGAGCTTAATTTCTACGGTATCTACTCAATTTTCGCCCATCTTTGAGTATATACTCTAACATTTGTTTAATTCAAGTGTTCTAAATTGTTCAGATTCAATTATTGTGGAATTTAGCTGTTTTTTGTCCTAAATTGTGAATTATAATCTTCTTCAGCATGTGTGTAACGGTGTCAATATCTTGTTGAATACTGTTTACATTTGATTTTGTGCTAATGCTTAGTTTCGCAGCTTCGATTTGGATATATTTGCTATGTTGATCATAAATGCACTATGCTTATTGTTTGATCTCTGAAATTGAACGGCATAAAGAGAATACTGTGGCTAAATTTGACTAATAATTGTTCGCATATTGCTTCTCTCTCTTAATTGATCATAAATGCATATATCAGTCATCAGATATATGTTTATTGCATGCTGTTTCAGTGATCTTTTTTGATCCGATTGTCAATTTGGCTGAAGTTCTGAATTACTGAGTAGATTTTGCATATGATACAATATCAAATTGAATTTGTGGTTTAACTAAAATTCATATGTAGCGTTTCATTAGTATGTATTCAATCTCATTCTTGAGTAAGTGTGTATTTTACCGAAGAATTTTCAATTTCTTTCGATTTGCAATCATTGATTATCCATTATTTTTATTCATGTAAATTTCTCTGCATTATTGATCACTTCTGCTGTTTCTAGTCAATTTTGGCTCATTTTTGTGTCAATTTTGGCTCATTTTTGTGTATTTTATCTAATTTTTCAGTAAAATTAGTGTTCTGATTTGTTCAGATTCAATTATTGAGGAACTTAGCAGTTTTTTTTTTGTTGAATTTTGCTTGAGTGTTACGCTATCAATGTTTTGCTGATTGAATACTGTATACATTTGATTTTGCGCTAGTGAAATAGTTTCTCAACCTTGATTTGATATCTTTGATTGCTTCGTTGATCATAAATGCACTATGCTTATTGCTTGATCTATGAAATTGAACGGCGTAAAGAGAATACCGTGGCTAAATTTGACTAATAATTGTTTGCTTGTTGCTTCTCTCTCTTCGTCGATTATAAATGCATATATCAGATATATGTTTATTGCTTGCTGTTTCAGTGATCTTTTTTGTCTGATGGCCAATTTAGCTAAAATTCTGAATTACTGAGTAGATTTTGCAGTTGAGTCACCATTGTTGATGGCTTGATGTATCAATAATTGAGTGTTATAAGGTTTAGTGTAGCACCTCATTATCCAATAGGATGGAAGCTTAGAAAAATGGAGAAGAGTAAAATCAAAAGGAGTGAAAGGCAGAAGAGAGAAAGAGAAAGAATTGGAAGGTTGAAGAAGTAAATCTACCAAAAAAATCGATACAAAGATGTATATTAAGCTAGGTGTTTGAATCAAGCAATATATTTCGACCTGTAAAAGGTTATTAGGCTAGTTGAAGAAGTAAATCGACCAAAAAAAATCGATCCTAAAGCACCTTTTTGTAACTAATTAATCTAGTTTGTTATAGTTTGTTGTATACTGTATATATACTTAAGCATTGTAATATTATTACATTACTCATTCATACATTGTATAATCTGAAAAAAAAAATTCTTTCAGAAATAAGAAATCTCTCCTGATGTTCTTCTCTCTTCTCTGAGTTCTATTAGTTTTTTCACTGTTTCAATCATGGCTGCTGAATCTTCAAACACAAACTCAAAAGAAGTCATAAACATTAAATTGAATTCAATACTCCAACTGAGGCAGTCAATGGAATCTCTTTGTTTTGCTAACTCAAATGGCATGGGGAGATTGGACATTACCGGGGAGAGTTTCGAGATTACGGTTCGCAACGCAGAAACCAATGTTGTTCTTCATCTTTGCTTGAACCGTTCTGAGCTGATCGAGTTCAAATGCAGCAAACACATTACTGGAAAGCTGATTTTTGTGGCAGAGATTGGACTGATTATGCATTGTGCTAGTGAAGATGATACTTTCACCATTCTTTATCTTGATGGGTCCGATAAGCTAACATTCATACAGGGTACAATTCTTTCTTAATCTTAATTAGTTTCATAATGATAAGTCATTATAAAGAAACATATTTGGTCCAAGATTTGCATGATATGAGTTGTGTATGAGCTGTATATGATCTTTGTATATTTGTTATCTTTCCTTGTATTTTGTTATTTTAGTAAGTATCTATCCTTCTTGTATACAGGATTTTACTTTACAGTGTTGACTAGGAGTTATTTTATATAAGGCTTAGTCGTGACTTTGTATTATGAGTGGAAACTATACAATAAAAAATTCTTCTATTGAATACCCAAATAGTGATGTCTGAGTTCTTCGACCATCAAAACTGATTCCAGACCTTTACACATTACATAAATTCTTGTTGATGTTTTTGAAATTATTTCAGGAAGTGATCCTGATAATGAGTACAGTGTGAAGTTGTATGATATGAATGTGGAAATTGAGAGATTTCTTGCGATCGCCTTCTGTGAGGCTGTTCTGACATCTTCCTATCTAAGAAAAATGATTCAGCAACTCAAAGATGTGTGTAAGGTAGTTAATAATTATCTCATCCTTTCATGTATTAGTCAATCATATCATCAATGTAAACTTAGCTTGGTTATTTATATATATAGATGTGTGTGTTTTCAGTTATAATGGAGATAGAAGAGAAAGGTGTGGTTTTCTATGTTGGAGGACAACCTGACATTTTGGCGCATGATTTCGAAGGGGTAATGGGGGTAATGCTCAAATCTCATAGTTATTCAGCATGAATGATCAAATTGATTACAAAAGAAGGTTACTGATGATTCAGAGAAATAAGTATTTTGTTTGTCAATTTTGCAGGGTGCTGGAACCAGAGGACTGGAACTTGGTCAGAAAGCTCAAGCTTGTTTAATAATGCATCATTTGGAAGTATTGAAGATAGCATCAACATTGGAAGAGCGTCCTATGTTGTGTTTTCATCTCCAACCAGACCAACTAGTCAGGATGCGATTTGGCCTTCAAGGACTCGGCTATTTGGAGTTCGTCTACACCACAACATGGGTTGTGAGGAACATAAAACCTGAAAGGGTCATTAGCTTTCAACTAAAGCCAGTACTCAAAGTGAGGTGGCCATTATCATTTCTCGCTAAACAGAAATTAAACCCCGAATGCATAGGAAGGCTGGACATTACTGAGAATGGAGGTTTCGAGATCACGGTCCACAACACCCAAAGCAAAGGTTGTTGCTCACTTTCGATTGAACTGTCGTGTGATGATAGACTTTGAATGCACCAAACCCATTATTGGAAAGACAATTGATCTTTTCGAGGTTGATCAAATTCTGGGGAAGCGCTCCTGAAGAAAATCTTCAAACCATTTATCATCTTGACGGCTCTAATGAGCTATTCTGCAGAAACGGTAAAAATTCTATTTTGTTGCATTATCTATTCTTTATTTTGCATTGTAGTGTGATTGAATGACATTGAGATATGTTTTTATTTAGTAACAATATTTTACTAATAAGATATTTAGTACAAATAACTTCATTTTGTTTTTGGTTTTTTTTCCTTTTATTCTTATTACTTCTTGATCCTTGTGTAGACACACCATAAAAGTCTTGTTGAGGTTTTTGAAATTATTTCAGGAATGGATCCTAAAAAGGAGTTTAATTTCAAGCTGGGTGAAGAAATTGAGAGCATTCCTGGGATCACATTCCTTTGTGATTGTGAGGGTGCTATCAAACCTGAACATCTTAGGGAATTGGCGGAGTTTCATCATTATTCTGACATGCCATCTCAGAAAGGTTTGTATCTCATTCTTCATGTATTAGTCAACCGTTTCATCAATGTAAGCTTGGTTTAATCTGTGAATTTTCTATATGTGATCAGTTTCAGTGACAATAGATGAGAAATATGTGTGGCTTTCCCTTCCTGTAGAGAATTTTAGTTGGCATACGACCTATAAACCTGAAGAGGTAATGCTCAAAACTCATAGTCAGCATGATCAGATTAATGTGATCGATGCAGAGCATTAAGTTTTTGCTTGTGATTTTGCAGGTTGTTGAAAGCAGGAGAGTAGAAGCAGATCAGATGCATGCCGCAGACTTTATAATGCATCATTCGAAAGTGTTGATGAAGGCAGCACATATGGCATCAAAGTTGGCACTAAGGCCTTTGGTGAGTGTTCTTTCAGAACCTCACCAACGTGTCATGATCCGATTTTGCCTCGAAGAAGTTGAACTGGTGTTCTTCTTCGAGGCGACATCGGTTGTCAAGAAATCTTTGTTCTGATAAGCAGTTTTACACGCTTATGGATAAGTTTAGCTATAAGTAGTTTCTAAGTAACTAATTGACTATATAGTGAAATTCCTAGAATGTGGAAAATAGAGTGAATGTACAAAGCACGACACACAAAGGTACTGTAAATTTGGCTTGATTAGAGAATTAAACAATGATTTAGCTTATCAAGTATATGATATGCTTGCTTTATATGCATCTTTAGCTGTTAGTATTATCATACTGCCCATAGCTGCTCAATGAAGTAAAAGTGATGGTATTTTGATTGTTATTCTTACCTCATCCTTTATTAAGTTCTATTGAATTCACTTAATTTGTACTGAAAATTAGTCTTTTGTGCTGCCTAGTGAAAGGGTGAAACCACAGTTCAAAGTTTCAAAATTGAATTATCAGTTGATTTAGTAACATAAGGCGTGCATAATCAGTTCTAGAAGTAGCTTAACTAGTCGAATAAATCTTATATATCGTATTTATATTTTAATTTAAATTTCTTGTCACATTTTTTAGTTAATTAAAAGTGTGACAAAATATTGAAACTGTAACTAACTCATCCAACTAGGCAGTTAGGCCGTTATTAGGCAAGTAAGCAACCTCTGTTCTGTTAGTAGTAACCCAACTACAAAAACATTCTCGAAAAAAAAAAATTCTTGTTTCATTTCTCTTTAATTACTCTCTAATCTGATTTTTTCTTCAATAATCTTCCTCAATCATTACTGAACCTTCAAACCTTAAACCCGGAAATCAATTTCAACTTCAACCAATTCAAATGAAGGACTCAAAAATTGTTCCCACAAAATATAAGATTGATGACAAAATTTACTCAGAATGAGATTAATGATGGCAATACCCAAATTCAAGATTCTGAAATGATCATCTACATTAATTCCAGCAAACCCATTATTATCAAGATGATTAACTTCGATCGCATTTCGCAAATTAATACCACATTTCATCTTGATGAGTCTTCCAATCTCTCCATATTTGGTTAGTGATTTTTATGTTTTATTATTGAAAAGATTGAAATTTCTGTTAAAGATTATTATTATTCAATTATCGTTGTATTATTGTAAGTTTTTATTTTAGTATAATCTATTTCTATGATTAGTTACAAGAACAGAGTATCCCTCTTCATTTCTTCAAGAACTTCGAATTATGAAGTAATTTTGTGTTTTTATTGTAATTAAAGTCTTTATCGTTTATCTTTGCTAGATAATTTGATTACCCATGAACCAATTTCGCTGATACATTTGATGTTCCTTTTTTTTTTTAAGGAATGAATTCTGCTTTTTCAAACAATGCAATTGAAAGTTGCAAAGATATGCTGGTTTCTTGGATCATTCTCACATTACATTGCTAACTACTCTCGAAATTCGATACGACTTAGCAATACTCTTTCGCACTTTGGGGGATTTCACAGTAGTGTCTCTCCATTAATTAGAACTTTTTGACTAATTTTTATTTTAATTCTTTTGTTTGTATTTTTTTATTTTTATTATTATAAGTTCATGAAATTGTATTAGTTTCAATGATATATACTCCTTTATCATTCATGCTATTGCAAATTGTTGATATTTTTATGCGAATGCGGGACTAATGGGATTCTGATGACAGTTGGAACTACAAATTCTGATCTTAGCTCCTAAATTCTCAAGCATCATCAAAGATTTTACTCCAGTAAGTCATATTTTTAACTGTCTTTGCTGAGTTGTTCTACAATAAAATTTACGGGTAGTTTCTTGGTATTATCTAATGTTAAATCGAGCGAATGATTTCGTGTTCATTATATTTGAGGTCCGAAAATTGGCTAATGCACAACCAAATGGTGAGCTCTCGAATTTTCGTGTTGTAATTTTACAGATGGCCTAAACAGTAGACATTAGTCTCTTGAGATTGATTGAGTCAAAATGCTAGCTTTGCTTGTATACATTACATATAAATTAGGCCTTAGATTTAGTGATTTATCTGTGATTATTATATATATATGGTGGTGGTGTTCAATTGTTATGTACATGATTCTATGTCACTTTGGAGTCATATGATCTAAGAGCAATGCCTAATTTATCTCGAGATATATACATATCTCTGGGTGTAAGATTATCCAGCCACATAAAAATAAAAAGAATAACAAACACAAGCACATAGAGAAACACTACTCTTGAAATGGCTTAACCTATGTCAATTTTAATCCTAATTCTTAATTAATAGGTTTAATCCTAAACCAAAACGCACTGGGATATGAAGATCCCTGCGTAAATCCCACGAGCGGTTAGCCTATGAATACCATTTTGTAACACCCCCGATTAACTAACTAATAATGAATAAGAATTAAAGGAAAAATAAACAACCTTTGAATAAAATTGCGGAAGCATATACCTAAAGTCGGAGGTATTACTGCCACACTTGACAACTCTTGTCAAGTGCTAAGGCTTACAAAATCCAAATAATTACAACTCAATAAATTAAGTGAGCTATTTATAAAACTTTATAAACTCGTTATAACAGACTAATCGAAACACTTGAGCTTCTTTAGCTATAATCACTTGATCAACCTATTTAGACAATTTTGGTTGCTCACCATTAAGGACAAATTCCAAAATAGATCATCGTAGGGCCACCATAAGAAAAAGACATGGCAGCAAACACAAATAGCACAACAAAATAACACACATAGTGTTTTTTCCACGTTGAGATGTAATCCAGCCCTTGAAGATACATAAGGTTGGTGTATGCCATCAAGTGGTCTTCAGGGTTGGTGGTACCATCATAAGTTCCAACCAACACATTCTTCACCTTAGCCGGCTGTGCGACTTCAGTTATTTCCTTGGAGAATACACTGGGTTGCTCTCCAAGTCTTAGCAGACGAAGCTGCCAGTCCAGGGGCTGGACATTAGATGCCGCCTATCCTTCGAAGAGAGTAGGCTGCATATAAGGTTGACCATACGGGACGTATGCCTGCTGAGGAACATACGGGGCCGCTTGGTACGCCTGAGGGCCAGAGTACGCGGACATGCCGCCTTTCTAGTTCTCATGGTTTGAGTGGGAATACCTCATTGAGGTATTCTGAGAGCTGTCTTGAAAGTTCGACGTGGAAGCCGACTCCGACAGTTGTATATTCCTCTTTTGTTGGATTAGCATCCGAGCATCGGAATAGGTTTTCTTTGAACCATCCGGCTGAACATGCCGGATGGCCTTCCTCCTCCCTGGCTCAGGGAATCAAAATTTGGTTAGGTCGATCACAGGCGACTGTCTTTCCCTAGGTTTAGGGTAAGAAGTTGCCTCTCGGTCCTTGACCGGCTTGTTTCTCCCAGACTGGGAGGGCTTCTTGGCCGACTGTTCTTTTATGGGAACAATCGTCCGTTTGTCAATGAGATCCTTAATCTCCCCTTTGAAACTTGTCATGAGAGTCATGAGTTCGTTTCTGGTGATGGGAGTGGACCCTTTGGCCGCCTGATCATCGTTCTGTTCCTTCGTCTTGGTGGGACGGAGGCGCCGAGATATAAGGGACCCGTCAGGGGCCGTTCGGGTGGCGACCTCGCAGTCGTCCTCCATATCTCGATCTGAGGTCACCTGGGCATCGTCCAGGGGCCGTTTCTCATTTAGGGGCGGTATAGGTTGTGAATCCATCTCGAAAGTACTCACCCCACAGACGGCGCCAAATGTTTCGGGGTTTTTTGATGTCCTACAGGAGAGTTACAATTCCAGGACTGGTCTCTAGACGCCTGTACCTGCAAAACAACGGAAACTCCGGTTGGGTGGAGTTCCGCCTCCGACGATCAAGTTAGAACGTGTATGAGGAGTAAATTGCGGAAAGTAAAGTCTCTCTTGGATTCCAAGAGAGGATCTGCAATGTGTAATTGCTCGGTTCGAGGTGTCAAGTGTCTGACTTTCTCCGATTGTGAGTTAATGTGTATTGATTGCGTAATCACTCTTGTGTATGCAATGTATCTATGTTCCCGAGGGGGAACATCTCCCTTTTATAGGGTGATGGAAAACGTGCCCAGTACTAGGTTTCAGTAAACCTAGGACTGACTGGGCTTTTGCCTAGGAATTTGGGCCGTAATAAGCTGCTTTCCTGATTGGCTATCTGTTTGCCACGTGTCGTGGCCTGATTGGTCCACCCTGGACCTGTCACGAGGTGGCATGTGGCGGACTCTGATTGGTCCACGTGGGAGACACGTGGCAGAGCTTAATTGGTCCACGCGGTGGGGAAAAATCCCCTAATCAAATATGGCTTCCTTCCTTTCTCTTTCTTTTCACTTGGGGAATTAGAGAAGGAGGCGGTTACATTGTTGAAGCGGATCCAGAAGTTCTCGAAAACTCAAGACATTGGGGCACGTGCTGCTGCTTTTCACTAGGATAGGATTTGCTATAGATAGAGGAGTGGGGGCCAAGATTTTATCTCGACTTCCCACTAATTTTTTGTAGGCTGTGTGACTTTGTCAGTTTTGAGATATGCTTTGTCAGTTTTTGAGATATGATGATAATAATAATAATAAAATTCAAAAGGCCACAAATAGTAACATTATTAACAATATTAATCATCACTATTAGAACACAATAATAATAACAAATTGACTAACATAACATTAAAAATAATAAATAATAAAATAATAAGCTACATAGTTATTTGTAGCTCAATAAAAAAAACAAAAACAAAAACAACGCGAAATCGAAAAATAAAAAAGAAATAACTGCTCGTTCCTAGACTTTCGATTTCCTGACTTGTTTCCTCGTTGGACTGGTGGTTGAATTGTAGTGAGTAGCTTTGCTTGGTGGTTATGTTCTAGTAGTAATAATGGTGTGGTGGTTGAATTGTAATAGTAGTAGTGTGGTGGTTTGGTGAAGCAAAGTTAGACCTAGGGGTGAAGAGATAGAAGTAAAATTGATTTTGAGGGTTAAACGAGTTATTTATTTGAGGTATAAATAAGTTTGTTCATACAAAAATATGAGGGAAGGCTAAAGACCCCTTGAAAGTTGGAAGTGAGAGGGAAGGGTAAGGGATCATCACCTCCCAAGTACCGCAGTTGAGAAGATTCGACCTTTTCACCTTGAAGGTTAATTCCTCCCCAACTACACCAAGTCAAGCTTTACTTGGTTATACGAGCGTAGTTTAGTACCCTTACAAAAATAGAGGAATTAGGTCGGATACAATAATTTAAGTAGTTATTAATACTTACACCCTAGTGTAGGTATTAATATCTACATCCCCCTCCC